TACACAATCGACATGTGTGCAGAGGAAGAAAATCCCTAACAGGTAGGTGTGTGCATCTTAAGACTACCGCTGTTCTACGTCATATAGAATATATTTAAAGTATATTTACAAAAATAGGGTTTTATTTTAATACGAGTTTCCTGATGAACGACTTTTGGCTTTTTTTTTTTTTTAATTTTCCCTGTGGGAAATGACACATCGTATAGATAAAATTAATTCTGTGAAATTTTAGAATAAAATTTACAAATATGTTTTCATATATAGTGTACAAAGTTAATGTGGCTCTTTATTACAAATAACAATAAATAATGTTATCTCTGTATATATCTGTACATTTGATTATTAAGTGATTTTGTTACACCAATAAAAATATGTATCGATAAAAATGTGATTTTGAAAACGTGTTTTTGAGATAATAATGATAAAACAGACAGGAACATTATGAAAATATCAGTGAGGAGCATAGTAACAATACAATAGTGATAATGATATCGATATTATGATTGATAGCGATATTAATGATAATAGAGATAAACAACAACTATACAAACAATAATAATACACAAATATAATGATAATTGTAATAATAATAGCAATTAATAGTATTAATGATACTAATGCCAATAATATAAATATTGATAATACTAATAACAATGATAAGAATACCAATAACGATATTGATAATACTAATAATGATATTGATTATAATGGTGATAATAACAAAAACAAATAATGATAATACTAAAAATTATAATAACTTTGATAATGATAATGATGACAACAGCAATAATAATGATAATAATAACAATAATAATAATAATGATAATAATAATGGTAGTGATAATGATGATGATGATGGTGATAATGATAATAATGGTTGTAATAATAATAATTATGATGATGATAATGATGATAATAATAATAATAATAATGGTGATAATGATAATGATGATGATGATGATGATAATGATGATAATGATAATGATGATGATGATGGTTGTTGTTGTTGTTGTTGTCGTTATTATTACTACTATTACAATCGTTATTATCATTATCATCATTATTATTACTACAGTTATTATTATCATTATCATTATTATTATTGTTATTATTATCATTATCATTATTATTATTATTGTTGTTTTTATCATTATCATTACTATCTTTATTATTATCAGTAGTAGCAGTATTATCATTATTATCATTATCATTATCATTATCATCATTAACAGTTTTATCATTATTATCATTATCGTTATCATTTTTATTATTATTATTATTATTATTATTATTATTATTATTATTATTATTATTATCATTATTATTATTATCATTATTATTATTATTATTATTATTATTATTATTATTATTATCATTATTATTATCATTATTATCATTATGGTAACTGTTATTGTTTTTGTTTTATTATTATCATATCATTATTATTATCGTTATTATAATTATCATTATTGTTATTATCATTATCATCACTATACTATTCATGAATATTGTTGTTTTTGTTTTTGATATTGTCATTATCATATTTATAGTAGTCTGCATAATATTAAGTATCATCATAATTATCGCTATTAATTATTATCATTATAATATTCTGTATAACCATTAGTAATATTATAATTATCATCATTATTATTATCAACCATTATTATTGTTATCATTGTTATTATCATTTATTACCATCATTTTATTCTATAGTGTCATTACAATTATCATAGCTAATATTAGTATTACCATTATTGGTATCATTATCATTATTATTTTCATTATCATTAGGTTCAGTATCTCTATTGTTGTCAGTATTGTAACTGGTATTATTATCAGCTTTATTAGTAATAGTAACAATGATAGTAAGGATCATAATAATAATATTAAACATATTGATGAAAATAAACAAAATATTTGTATTTAATACTAACTATGGTATCGATGATGACTGTAATAAAGATAATACCGATAGTAAGTAGCTAATGAAGATAACAATGATAATGGCAATAGCAGTGCCACAGACTGCAATAAGGGAACGGAAATTACGTAAAATGACATCAATAAACAGTCATTGACAATAAGTAGGACCCGATTATGTTTTCCCTTTTCCTTTCAACAATAACAAATATATTATTACGCACAAGTGTTCTGAACATATGAAGAAATAACATGAGCAATATTGGTCATCTGAAATTGCCTTCATAAAAAAATAGTTTCAGAAGTCATCGTCTGTGTGTATCGAGGCATTGTTTATGGGAATATCCTCTCAAAGATGAATGGGACAAAGTTTACCCATAACTAGAATAAACACGTTCGAATTTCTACAATACATTCACACGGGAAATGTGCAATATATACATATGTGTATGTATCATAATCATATATTGGATGTACTCCATATACAGCTTGTATATATATGCATATATATATATATATATATATATATATATATATATATATATATATATATATACATATATATATGTATGTGTGCAAATCTATATAGATACATATATACATACTTACATATATATATATATATATATATATATATATATATATATATATATATATATATATATATATTTACATACCCACAGGAAAGAACACCCACATGCCTCTCGTCATCCAAGATATACTCCTAATCCTTAATCTTTAAGCGTGACTTGTTGAGCTCCGCCACGACCGGCCGGGTCAAGGCGGCCGCGTGGCTCCTGCGAAACCGGGCGCTGTGTTTCTCGGATGTGTCGCCGACCCGCGTCGCGGCGCTCTGCCGCGGGTCTCGTGCGGCGCTGCGGCGCGAACGCTGTCACTCGGGGGAAAGAACAGTATTTCCAGTGCGTTTGGCACTCTGCTTCTTATGTAACACTGCCGGGGCCGTGCATGCATAGGTTTAGGGGGCTGATCCGGCCATTCGTAAATGTATAGCTATATATTTGCACTTACACTTTCAGTATAGACACATAAATGTATACATGCACACACACACACACACACACACACACACACACACACACACACACACACACACACACACATATATATATATATATATATATATATATATATATACACACACATATATGCATATACATGTATGTATCACACACACACACACACACACACACACACGCACACATATATGTATATATATATATATATATATGTATATATATATATATATATATATATATATATATATATATATGTGTGTGTGTGTGTGTGTGTATGTGTGTGTGTGTGTGTGTGTGTGTGTGTGTGTGTGTGTGTGTGTGTGTGTGTAGTGCATATATGAATATACATACAAATACACACACAGACGTATATATATTATATATACGCATATATATCTATATACATATATTCATATATATGCATATATTCATACATATACATTTATATACATATAATTATATATGTATATTTATATATATAACTATATATATATATATATATATATATATATATATATATATATATATATATCACCATACATAAATACACACACACACACAAATATATATATACATATATATATATATATATATATATATATATATATATATATATATATATATATGTACTGTACGTATATACATGTATACATATAGGAATATACATACATAATACATACATGTGTGAACACACACACACACACTTAAGCACGAGCGCGCGTACATGTCTGTATATATGTGTAATACAATGACCCCCACCCCCCTCACGCACGGCCCTGGCTGCGGGATTCCGGCTCACCCCGGCGTCTCGAACGCGGCGTCAGTCGTTGAACACTGGAATTGGTGAGGACGTTTTCATTTGTTAATTACCGTCTCTTATTCTTAGTGTCTTAGAAAATGGATATAAACGCTTTGTTCCTTACGTTTTTTGAAACAAAGAGACAAAGAAATGTCACATTGACTCTGTTATTATTGATCTTCATAGTCATTTTCATCATTACTAATCAAGAGCATCATCATCGTTCGCAATACCATTGATTACTGGATGTAATTCATTGTTTCTTTTTTAACTTTCGATAAAAAAAATGTGTGGAGGGGGGGGGATAGGAATGTGTTACTGACCATCTATAATAAAAATTTAAGGGTGAGATAGACATGGCCGGTTTTTTTGAAGTGATTCGTGACAGTGCTAGGAAACTGTTATTATTTAACCTCAAACAAGTTGTGGTCAACTTATCATTCTGAAACACGATATTTGGGCGAAGCATGTGACTCTGGGCGAACTGAAATTCATGCCAGGTATCCTATTGGGTAGTTAATATCAGAGAAATATTGAGAAGACCGATAGCATATAAAAGAATTTAACAAACCATAAGTTGCAAGCACCTACTTCCCTTCTAGACACCTCCAAAGGGAACAAATTATTGGTTAAGTAATTTTTTTAGTGTTATATTGGATATCAAATGATGGAACATCTTTTCACCTTTTACTCCAGTGCAATTCAGATAATGTAATTAGAGGAGAAAGAGGAGGAGGAGGAGGAGGAGGAAGAGGAGGAGGAAGAGGAAGAAGAAGAAGAAGAAGAAGAAGAAGAAGAAGAAGAAGAAGAAGAAGAAGAGGTGTTGGTGGTGGAAAAGAAGGAGGGGGAAGGAAGGGAGCAAATAATCATGTATCAAAGTAAATACAACCAAACATGCGCATTGCATTCCAGGGTATACAATATACAACAAAACATGAAAGAAAGATATCTAGAGAAATTGGTATGGAATAGGAAGATCAATAATTGCAAACTTATTGGATGAAACTGTATGTTGTTGAGACTATTTGAACTCATTTCCCAAATTCGCCTTCCAAATTTCATGAGTATTTTACCTGAATGGCAGTATCTGTTCCGGACACTGTCATTTGATTATAAGATGTGACAATAAGTAAATGTGAACTAAAAGAAATGAATTATTTGTTCCGGGGGAAAATAAATATTAAACGATGTTTGAGTAAAAACTATCATGACAACAAAACAAGAAAATGAAGGAAAAGAAAAGAAATTATAATATATTTCTTTCAAACTTTACAAGTACAAATCATATATCTGCAAAAAAAAAAAACAAAAAAACATGAACACAAACAATTATACATATACAAAAAATATCGGGATATTACAGGAAAATCCTACTGTTTTGTTAAGTCTGAACCAAGTATTAACACAATAAGATTAACCGTAATGATTATGGAAACCGTTAACACTGAAAGTCAGTATATTTTCATAGCAAGTAATATCACTCTTGCACACCATACTGTACAGATAACGTAATGACAAGTGTTAATATGTGATTATATCACCTTTATTGTCCTGGGATGTAGGATTACCCGGTTTTCTGTTTGTGTTTATGTTTATACCTTTGGCTACGACTCTTTCGCAAGCAAGTATTTCGTTCAAATAAATATGTGGTTATTTATACATACATTCATTTGCCTGCAAGCGAAGAATCTTGTCGTAATAAATACACGTGTTATAAAATGGACGTATCTGTATCTGCATTCGGTGAATAACTTGGGTCTTCCGTGTTTCTTGTACAATTCTTTTCTATATCATCTTGCGCGAAAGGAGCACGATTTGACAACAAGAACGGCAAATCTTCAGGAAAACGCTGTCATCTGAATTGACAATCCTTGCTGTATCGCCTGACACGCTGTTTACCCGGATGTCTCAACGCTGTCCGATCTCGAATAAGCGTCTATCCTTCGTGGTTCTCGCGACTACCGGTTTCGTGAAATAAGGGAAACTCTTTTAAGTGATGGACATCGACAACAGCAGCCCAACTTGCTCGTTTTACTCATTCCTTGTTTTCTTCGTGAAACTTTCCCCAAGTAACTTGTATCAGTTGTTGCGCGTAAAATTACGTATATTTCAGGACACACTGTAGATCAGTGGCATTGTTGCTGCATTTCCCATGGCTTTACGTTAAAACTCGTTCCCCCGATTTCCAAAATCCATGTCAAAACTTTGTATTATTATAATACTTCGAATCGACAGCCAGAGCTTCGACAAAGACTCTGAATACTTAGGCCCAGACGCCTCTACAGACACAAAATGCCCTCTCAGCCAAATATACCCTTACGGTCTGGCTGTCCCGATAAACAGAACCTTCTAAATACAAGACACAACCACCGCTAAAAGCCAAAGCTTCCATACAAGCCATTTTCCCGCCCTTCGACACAGAAACAGACACCGTTTTCTTTAACGACAGACACAAATCTCATTCCAGCCGACCTCCCTGTCTTTGGGTCTATCTGCACCTCCACAAACACTGACAGACACGTAACAGATTCGCGCCCTGCTGGACCGCCAAAGTCAAGGACAAAGCCTCATCTCTGAATGAAATAAACGTTCGATGGGTAACGTTGCGTCTTCGTATTGTTGTCCTTAGCCAACGTTGCACACGCACCCGTCGCTCTTGGCCTCCTGGCGGACGTAGTCGGCGACGTTGAACTTGCGCTCGTTCGAGTTGGTCGACTTCCGCGCCTTCAGCTCTCTGCGGGGGCCGGGGGGGTTAGTTCTTGGATAATGCTATGTCTATGTCTATCTACCTCTATCTGTCTCAGGTGTGTATACTTATGCTGTATCTACATCTGTTTGTCTATCAGTGTATCTATCTATTTTTTTATTTATATAACTGTTGATCTTCTATATACATATGCATCTACTTATATTCATATTTCTATATTTTTGTTGTATACATTATGTATTATCTATATGAATCTATATCTATTTCCACTAACTATTATGTTACTTATAGATTCCTTTTGTCTACCCTAAATATATATATAAAATAATTTGGGAAAAGGGAGGGAGACAAACAGAAAAAAAGAAACAAACAAGAAGAAAAAAAAGAAAGAAAGGAAAAAAATGTAAGAAGTAATAATGACTATCGAAAAACAGTAAGATAGAAAAAGAAATAAATCGAAAAAAGAATAAATCTCAAATTTATAAAATACCATCTCCCTCACCCCCCAAAAAAAAAATCACATACACCAAAAGAGAAAAAAGAAAAAGAAAGAAAAAAAGAAAGGAAAAAAAAGAAAAAGAAAAAAAGATGAAAGAAGAAGAAGAAGAAGAAGAAAACACACACACACACACACACACACACACACACACACACACACACACACACACACACACACACACACGCGCACACACACACACACACACACACACACACACACATCTATGCATAAAAGGGAAAGGGCGCAAGAAAGGCAGCGGAGGCACCTGGCGACGGCCATGAAGGCGAGGTCGACGTTGAGGCCCGTCTTGGCCGACGTCTCCGTGAAGGCCACGTTGTACTCGCGCGCCAGACGCTCCCCGTCCTCGCGCCGCACCACGCGCTCGCCGTTCACGTCGCACTTGTTGCCTGCGGCCGGTGGGGGGGAGGGGTCAGTGGCGGCGAAGGAGGAGGGGTCAGTGGGGGCGAGGGGGGAAGGGGTCAGTGGGGGCGAGGGGGGAGGGGGAGGAGAGGAGGGAGGAGGAGGAGGAGGAGGGGAGGTGGTGGTGGAGATGATGGTGGAGGTGGTAGAGGAGGAGGATGGATGATGATGAGGATAACAATAATAACAATAATAATGATAATGATAATAAAATACTGATGATAATAATAAATTAGCAAGTCATAGAAATAGCGTAAATAATGAGTAAGAGTAGTAGTAGTAATAATAATAATAATAATAATAATAATAATAATAAAAAAATAATAATAATAATATTAATAATAATATAATAGTCATAACAATGACGTAGATGATGAGAATAGTAATAATAATATTAACAATAATATTAATAATGATACTAATAATAACAACAGTAAGGGCAATAATACTAATAATGATAATAATAATAATAACAAGACTAGCAATAATAACAATAATAATAATGACAATGATGATGATGATGATGATAACCATAATGATAACAATAATAGTAGTAGTAATATATATAATATGATAACAGCAACAACAACGATGGTGATAATAATGAAAACAATAGTCTTAATAATGATTAATAGTATTTTCTTTATCAATGTTTATCAACATCAACATCACTATTCTTACTGTTATCACTTCTAAAAGCAATTATAGTGATAATAATAATGATGACTTGGTTCAAGATAGTGACATGATATCGATTATGATCAAGAGAGCAATATCAAATAATTAATCCATAGTAAAGACACTAAAATAAGAAAATTGAGTACTAGTTCTATCTATTAAGTATGAATGACGTTATAGAAAGAGAACTGCTCAAGTAATCTAACCAAGATGAAAAATGAGCCAAACAAAATTCAAATAAAAGCCTAAAACGGTAAATACAAACAAACAATAAAAGCTATATACATCTAATCTGAGTAAACAAACTAAAGACCATACTATTTATATAAAAAAAAAACAGAACAAAAAACCAAAAAACAAGAGTAAACAAATGAGATCAATAATGGTAATAAAAAAAGTTAAAACGAAGTCCAAAGCAACAGGTCAAGAAACCCTCACCAATGAGCATAATGACCACGTCGTCCTGAGCGTAC